CTTTATGAGGTCAAAAAATCTATTGTTTAGTTCCCAGCCATACTTCACAGGTAATGGTAGATAGTGTACGGGTATGTTAGAGCGTTTAAGCACTAAACATACAAAGTGACTACGGAATATATGATACTTAAGGACATTCATTGTTGGTGGAAGTTGTGCAGCGCCATACTGAAACTTAGAGAAAAGAAACCAACAATGTTGTGAAAGAGTATTAACATCTTCTGTCTGTTTTTTATCACTGTAGACTGTAACAACAACACGCTAAATATTATTTATTGTAAACAGATCAGGTGAAGCTTATGATTGACCAAGATTTGATAGTGCAGCTAGGGTTCTTTTGTCAGCTTTTATAAATTCTTTTCACCATGATTTTTTAGTGATTCCAGAAAAGCGTCCAATTTGATAACAGCCAGTAAAAACGTGAAAACCTAAAGAAATTAAAAACTTCGCGTAGACCATTACTTTCATTAGAAATAAGAAACAACAAAGTATAAACAAAAATGCCTAAAATAGCTTTATGAATTAAGATGTCTTGTTCCTTATCCCCTCTACCAATTTGGAAAATTGTGATACGTGGCAGGACTAAATAAAAATCGGACTGCGCTACATATATTATTTTTCGTATGTTTAGCAAGGCATTCGGTAAGAGCTTGCTTGGTTTCAATGTCCCCAAATAACTGCTTTAGCGACTTATTTCAAATGATAGTGTAAACAGTTACTTTATATTTGCTTTCATTACCAGAGGTGCGTTTTTTTCTCGTTCTAAACTTTAATGAATGTTTAATGTATTTTTCAAAAACCAATCTCATCACTTCGCAATTTTGAGATACTTTTCTAATAATGCTAATAAATATTTCAGCTAAATCCTGAATAGTCAAACAAATATCAGTATTTATGTTGCATAAGATTATGAGTTATATATAAATATATTATTTATATATATATATGTATATATATAAATAATCTGTTAAAGTTTATAAGTATCGTGCGAATATACATGATCAAGGTACGTATTACAATGTTACAATTTGTTTTAAATATATTATAAGCCGATGTCACTCAATTTATCAATTATACATATACAGTTATTACAGTTAATAATACACATGATTTGATGGAGTGAAAATACTACCACAGAAAATACATAACCTTATTAATAAAATTACCTAACAAGTTTTAATACTGTTATCTTTATGAACTTTATTGACCGAGGCCAAGCCATTAAAAATGATATTTTTCTTGTTTTTGTATCAAAATCAATAATCTTTTTAACTACAACTTCATGCAGACTTTTTTTCATTATCAGAGGTGATCAATGGGTGACCATCTTGATTAAACATCAGTTTTTGGTACAACTGATATTTTTGGTACAACTGAAAACTCATAGCTACAGATGCTTTTTTACAAATCAAGTTCTAGGCACTAAATAGAAAATAAAGTAATAAGGTGCGCTCTTCTTTTAATTGAATTACTTTATTATCTATCTTTATTTTTGAAACTTTGGCTCGATTTTAGAATATTTTCTGATTTTTTATCTTTATTGGCGACCATATAAATATGTCTCCTTTTAACCTTTCAGTAACAAAAAAATAATAGAGTTCTTCTGCGATCTTTCCATGATGAACTAATTCATCTGCTACTTCTTTTTGCAAAATTTTCCTTGAAGTTGATGCCAAATGTGTCAAATGCATCAATGACTTTTTTTACATTAGATGAAATTCTTTCGTTTGTAGATCTCGTCAGTTGGTAATGTCGGTTGCGAAATTGTGAACCAAAATTGTTTTTTTCGCAAAATATTTTTCATATGGAGTTTAAAGCTTGAGCAATAAGACAAAAACGGTTTAAGCACGTTGGATTTTGTGTAATACCAATCACCCCTCCTGCTACCTCAAAACCTTGTTTTCTTGTTCTAAGGCATGTCCAGAACCTTATTACAGAAAGGAATGTCTGACTTGTTGATGGTGAATTTTTTTTTAAGGTATTGCTTGCAGGAAATGTCTAGTTTTTTTAGTTCCATCATTGTAGCAAGATACAGTGATGAAAGACTCGCATAATTATATTGATCATGAGCAAAAAAGTATAAAATCATTGCATCAAGCGACGCAAGATAAAGTTTCCAATGCTTCCATACCACGTTTCCTATGTTTTCCATCAATAATCTGTCCAAGGGTGGTGAGACCGTAACCAACTGCTTCTATCAATATCTGATCAAGTCCACTTTTACCAATGTGCTTTCCAATAACTTTTAAAAATGAAGTCATGATATAGTTCCTTATGCCGAAAAATAACATTTTCTTTGATCTCACTATTTTTTCATAGCTGCATGCATTTTGAATAGAGTTGAGGATTAAGGATCACGATTGTTTTTTACTCCCTGTGATAGCAACGTTAATTTCCTGACCAAGTTTTAATGCAATGAAAAAGTTGCTCAAATCAGTCGGTGTACCTGCATGTATCGGTAGACCCTGTGTTACAGCAGATGCAGGAGCATCCGAAAGAAAGGAGTTAAAAGCACTTTATGTTGGTGATTTAAATTCACAATCAAAATAAAAATCACATTAAAGATTAAACTTAAAAATCCCAAATCCATCAATGGTGCAAAATGAAGAAAAATTCACCAACGACTGTGGAGTTTCAAAATCTTAAAAGGTTTCATTGGGTGGATTTGGTATAGCACAACTATGCGTTATAAACATAGGTGCATGTATAAATGTAAGATATTTTGTTCGCTGTGTCTTGCGCATTTTACCTTTAGCATATAAATTATTTTGAAATGCTCATGTGGTTCCATTAAGTTCAGATTAAGTTCAGATTAAGCCAACACTATCAATAGCATTATCAATACAATTAAGTTCAGATTAAGCCAATATTATCAATAGCAAGTTGCAACGGTTTTCCTACTTAAATATTAGAAGGTACAAATACGCACTGGTTTGTTGATATATTTTTAATAACAGCGTTTCCTAAACCATTTTTACAACACTTCTATAGGAAACAGAAAGTTCAAGATATACCAAGCAATTCACTAGCTTCTTATTACGGGTTCCTTTATGCACATGTAATCCGAGGCCGAATGAAAAAAGGTGTTTCAGTAATATCTCTGAAATCAATATCCGTTTTTGAGTATTTTGCAATAAATATACTGTGTTCAAGAAAACGTTGCAAACGTTTTCGGTGGGTAAACCTTTGTAACATTCTGAATGATAAACACCTTTTTCATCTAGTTCCTCGCATGGTATTTCACTTAACTTTTGGCAGTAATCTATTGTCTCTAGGTCATGATAGGAGTACCTTTGCCTTAAACGTACCATTATTTTTTCCAAAGCGTCACGCAAACTGGTTTTTACTATCTAAAAATAAGTTTAGTAAATTTTAGGAAACATTTTTAAAAATTACTCAAACAACATATTAAAAATATCCAAAGTAAAAATAACATATCCAAAGCGTGGAAATCAAACTCAAAATTCGCGATGCTTGATAGATTTTATTAAAACTTAGGAGCACATGGTGCTTTCAAAAGAAAGTTAGTTAATTGGCTTAAATAAGACAATCCCACAATATTTTTTTATGCATTTATTGTATTAAAACGTTTTTCATTGTATAAAATGTTTTATGAATACAATTTAATTATTTCATTATCCTCCTTACTTTCCTATTATTATTCCCTATTATGGACGATAAACGATATATAGTTTTTACATTAAAATAAGTATAAAAAATTTTATAATATTATTATTATAGATTTATATATATTCATATTCTAATAATAAAAAAAGGATTTAATGAAAATTTGAAGTCTTATATAAATATATATATATATATATATATATATATATATATATATATATATATATATATATATATATATATATATATATATATATATATTATATATATATATATATATATATATATATATATATATATATATATATATATATTTGCAAAAATGGCATAAGTGCTCCAAAAGAATTTGAAAATATTGGTATAAAAGTCGGCACTTATGCCAATATTTGCAATTTTATTTGGCGCACTTATGCCAGTTCGACCTTATGCCAGTATGCATATATGCTAGTTTTTGCAACTGCTTTGCAGTTATGCCAGTTCGCACTTATGCCAATATATCCAAACCTATTCGGGGCACTCATGCCAGTTTCCAATTATTACAGTTTTTACAACTCCTTTGCATTATAATTTCGCATTTATTTAGTCTCTAAAAAAAATTATTTTAAAATTTTTTTTGAACGCTTTTTAAACGTTTTACAAATACAATCGTGATTCAAGTGACTATTAAACACTTGAAAAATGTGTTTTTGCCCACTGGGTAAGAATTTTTTAACATTTAGAAGAGTTTTTTTTCATACTTCGACCGTGTGTGGACAAAATTAGACAATGTATGTACTTTTTGGCACTGTTAATAAATGAGTTACAAGAACTTTCAAAAACGATCAAGTTTAACAAGAAATTTTTGAGTTGCATACTGATTATAATCTTTTGATTGTATACAATAATAAACTTTTTTTGTTCTTTAAAGAATTTTATTTTTTTATATATTAATTACAAGTATGATGATAAGACGGTTTACGAGTACCGACGTAATACTGATAAATAAACTTTTTATAAGACAAGATCGCATATGTATACCTGATAAAATGTCTTATAAAATATCTCAGAAAAAATGTAGTTTAAAAATAATAATTTTATAATATATTATTTATAAGATTAAAACAACTTTTAAATGTAATTTTTTGAGTAGCAATAATTTTTTGAAGTTGTCCTTAATATTATAACAACTTTTTTTGAAAGAATCTTTATATTTTTTAAAAGGGTTATAACAATTTTTTTTAAATAAGTTTAGATGAAGGTTTATATTATTTTCTTATATACTGGCTTAGATAATTTAACGTGTTGTATATTGAATTTGGAGTTCAAATTTGATACGTAATCAATTACTTAAACTTCACTTGAATTAAGAACATATAATGATTTTTGCATTATAGAAATAACAGTACGTTCAATACTTGGTGTTCAACCTTCTTCTTCAAGCTTATATCTACGTGAAAAAGAACTTTGCGAAATTCATAAATATTTTATTACACCACAAGGTGAAAAAAATTTAACCGTAGTATTATATGGAATGTCTGGTGTCGGAAAAACACAACTTGCCAAAAAATATTGTGAAGTTCATTATAAACTTTACAAAAATATCGTTTGGGTAGATGCAGCGTTTGGAAAACTACAAACTTCAATGAAAAAAATTTGCCAAAAATTAGGTTTAAATGTACAAAATTCGAAAGGCGAATATTTTGATATAGATGTGATTCTTGAGAAAGTTCATAACTATTTTAAAAATGAAAAAACTTTGTACATTTTTGACAACGTTGATGATGAAAGTGTTCGAAATTTGAAAATGTACATTTCAAACCAACCAAACTCATTTACTTTGATAACCTCTCAATGGAGAATATGGTCAAATAATGTAAATAAAATGCACATTGATGTTTTTACTTTTGAAGAAGCTTTTACTTATGTAAAAGATAATATTAAGGAAAACACCAACGATAACATAAAAAACCTAATTAGAGAATTAGGTTATCATCCATTTGCAATTACTCAAGCAATAAAATATTTAATTATGCATAATATTACGATCGAAAAATATATAAACTGGTATAGATCAGAACCCTTAAAACTACTAGACAATGACATCATTCCAACAGAAGAAGAGTCAAAATCTGTAATAAAAACAATCAACTTAGTTTTATTAAAATTAGAAAAAGACAAAGAAAAACTTTTCCCTTTACATTTATTAAATTGCTTATCTCATTGCGATGGACAAAACATAAGTAAAAAATTTATAATCCAAATATCAAAAAACATGGAAATATTCAGAAAAGTTTTGATAGATGAGGCAATTGTTTTATTATTGAGTTATTCTTTACTAGATCGTTTGGATGATAAAAAATATTCAATGCACGATCTAACACAGTTAGCGTGTAGACATTTTCAAAATAAAAATTCAAGTACAAATACTTATCTTAGCTTATTAGAAAATTATTTTAAAGCTGAGTTGAACGGCGTAGAATATCATGTAGAATATGGCAAAAACTTTGTATTTCATTTTATCAATATGTTTCGCATTCAAAGAGAAAGAATGTCAAAAACTTTCCATCTTATGATGGATTCTATTGAAAAATTATTATTATGTAAAGGTTTATTTCAAGAAGCAATCGAAATATTGAAAGCTGTTCAATGTTTTTTAGAAGAGACTTATGGAGAAAATACTATAGTTCCCATTTTAGCAAAATACAAAATTGCAAACTGTTTATACAGTATGGGAAAATATAAAGATGCTTTAGAAATTTATTATTCTTTTGATAAAATATTGATTGAATTTTTTGGTTACAATACTGATTTTACAACAACAAAAACGAAAATCGCACTTTGTTTGCTTGATATGGGAAAATATAACGATGCTTTAGAAGTTCTATATCCTCTTGAAAAAATAGAAACTGAAACTTTAGGTAAAACCCATCCAGATACAATGACAACAAAACATAACATTGCATGTTGTTTATACGAAATTGGAAAATATAACGAAGCTTTAGAAATTAACTTTTTGATTAATGAAATACAAACTGAAGTTTTAGGAACTAACCATCCCGCTACAATGACAACAAACTTAAATATTGCACATTGTTTTTCCGAAATGGGAAAATATAGCAAAGCTTTAGAAATTTATTACTCTGTTGATAAATTACAAACTGAAAGTTTAGGTATCAACCATCCTGATACAATGCGTACAAAAGGTTTTATCGCACTCTCTTTATACGAAATAGAAAGATTTAAGGAAGCTTTAGAAATTTATGAGTCTATTGATGAAATGCAAACTAAAATCTTAGGTTTAAACCATCCATCTACAACGAGGACAAAATACAATATTGCTCTCTGTTTAGAAGAAACTGAAAAATCTAACGAAGCTCTAATAATTTATAATTCTATTGAAAAAATACAAACTGAATTTTTAGGTGTTGACCATCCATTTACACTGGACACAAAATATAAAATAGCATGCTGTATCAGAGATATGGGAAAATACAACGAAGCATTAGAAATGTTTTATTCTGTTATCAAAATACAAACTCAAAGTTTAGGTCTAAACCATCCATCTACAACAAAAACAAAGATTAGCATTACAAGCTGTTTGTGCGAAATGGGAAAATGTAACGAAGCATTAGAAACTTTATATTCTGTGGAAAAAATGCAAACTGAAATATTATGTTTCAACTTTTCATTAACAATTCAAATAAAAATACATTTCGCAAATTGTTTTTTCAAAATGAAAAAATATAAGGAAGCTTTAGAAATCCTTTATTTTATAGAAAAACTACTCACTGAAACTTCACATATTAATAAGTTAATGAATACAAAAAAACTTATTGCAATTTGTTTGTGCAAAATGAAGAAATTTAATGATGCTCTAGAAATTGTAAATAGCGTTGATAAAACACTAACTGAAACTTTAGGTATCAGCAATCAATCAATGATGAGTGTAAAAAAAACAATTGCTGACTCTTTGTGCAAAATAGGAAAACATAAGGAAGCATTAGAAATTTATTATTCAATTAACAAGTTACTAATCGAAAGTTTAGATTTAGACCATTCATTTAAAATAAGTATAAATTTGAGTTTGGCATTTTGTTTGTACAAAATGGAAAAATATAACGAATCTTTAGAAATTTATTATTCTGTTGATAAAATACTAACTGAAATTTCACCTATCAACCATACAAATATAATAATGTTGAAAAATAATACTGCATGGTGCTTGTTCAAAATAGGAAAATACATCGAAGCTTTAGAACTTTTGTATTCAGTTGATAAAATACAAAGTGAATTATCAGGTGAGAACTATTCATACATATTGACAATAAAAGAAAATATTGTAGAATGTTTGCTCGAAATGGGAAAATATAACGAAGCTATAGAACATTTGTATTTTATTGATAAAATACAAACTAAAACTTTAGGTATCAACCATACATCTACAAGAAATACAAAACGTTTTATTGCAAACTGTTTACTAAATATGGGAAAATTCAGTGAAGCTTTAGTTATTATATTTTCTATTAACAATTTAAACTTCGAAAACTTTGTTACAAACCTTTCAACTACAACGGAAAAAAAAATTTATTATTTAGAAATTTAGATGAACATTGAATTGATTAACATTTTTAATTATTCTTAAAATCAATAAAAATAATATTTCAAATGGGAGTACAGTAAAATGATATCTCGACATAGCATTTGTGTTTCGCTCATCGAAGAAGAAAGTAGTCACTTCAATACTATAGAAAAATGTACTAAAAATTAATAAAAATTTATATTCTATAAAATATATGTATTAATAATTAACATTAAAATAATAACATTAATTTCATGACTGCATTGCAATTTTACTTCAATGAACTCAATAAAATCATGTTTATTGTATTTGTAAAACCATAGTTTCGTTACATACTATAAAATAGTTTAATGCATATATATATATATATATATATATATATATATATATATATATATATATATATATATATATATATATATATATATATATATATATATATATATATATATATATATATATATATATATATATATATATATATATATATATATATATATATATCGCGAGGTTATAATTATTTTGTTCTATCTCCACTTATTGAAAAAAATGAGTTTTTAATTGTGTAATGTACCTCAAAATAATGTTTTTCTACTATTTTAAAATCTAAGTTAAAATCAAAAAAGTTTCGGAGAAAACATAAGTAATAAAAATCTTTTTATATGACGTCTCCTAAAGTTTTTATTTTTTAAATCGTTTTATCTCGAAACAAAAAAATGTGGAGATAGAACAAAATAATTCTAACCTCGCGATATATATATATATATATATATATATATATATATATATATATATATATATATATATATATATATATATATATATAAATATATATATATATATATATATATATATATAAATATATATATATATATATATATATATATATATATATATATATAAATATATATAAATATATATATATATATATATATATATATATATATAAATATATATATATATATATATAAATATACATATATATATATATATATGTATATATATATATATATATATAAATATATATATATATATATATATATATATATATATATATATATATATATATATATATATATATATATATATATATATATATGTATATATATATATATATATATATATATATGTATATATATATATATGTATATATATATATGTATATATATATATATATATATATATATATATATATATATATATATATATATATATATATCCTCATAGTGTAGTCGAAAGAGACTTTTATGGTAAAAAAAAGTCTCTTTTAGCTACAAATTATATTACCTCGTCTTTTAAGCTGTATTTGATTGTCATCGAAATGTCAAAGCAATTAATTTAATGCGGAAGTAAATTAAATTTTAATGTTTTTTAACAAAAACTGCAATAATAATGACTAGTAAGTTTTTTTTAATTAGTGGTGTTTTTGTTTTTGTTTTATTAAAAAACATTTTTAAACATGCGTTAGTGTTGCAACATCGACTATCTTATAGCCTGCTGCTACAAGAGAGTGTTGCTACATCGACTATCTTATAGCCTGACTCGCAACGGAGTGCTGCTACATTGACTGACAAATAGCTACCTTCTTCATGTTAAGCTTTAAATATAAATATACTTAATAGGTGCATATGTGAATTTTTTTTTTTTTATTTTTTAAACAGGGAGAATTAGAAATAAATATTTTTTTTTTCTAGAGGGAGAAATAGAGATAAGGTTAATGTGGAATAGAGTTTGTTCTTTTAAGTGAAAAACTATTTTATAACCTATCTATCATCTATATAATGATGCCGAACTAAATAGTAGTGTTGAACGAAAGAGTCGCAGCACTTTTTTATATAAGAAAACGTGTATGAACGTGTATTCAAATATTAAACGTACGTAAACTTCAAATTAGGTAATGATAAAACATACTGAGACGTTTTTAAAGTTTTATAGTTGGACTTTGACTTAAAAATTGCATTGCGTCAACCTCACCTTAATTTTTGATCTACAGCAAGTCCGTTAAAAATATTTTTATATATTTTTAACATTTCGATATTTGATGTGTCAGCATGGCCAAGTGGTTAGCGAGCTAAGCTTCTGAACGTAATAGTCGTGGTTCAAATTTACCACCAGCAATTTTTTCTTAGAATTTTTAAATTACAAAATATTTGTGAAGTTAAGCAAGTTAAATGTTATAGACTTTAACGGTTTTTTCTTTTTAAATTTTTATGATTTCTTAAAACACCAATAAACAGGGTGAAAATTTGTTGCGTGTGTGTCACGATTTTAATACTGTGCTCAAATTTATATATATATTTTAAAAAGACTAAAAATAAAACAAATAGTTATTTTTACTAAATTTACTATATATATATATATATATATATATATATATATATATATATATATATATATATATATATATATATATATATATATATATATATATATATATATATATATATATATATATATATATATATTTATATATATATATATATATATATATATATATATATATATATATATATATATATATATATATATATATATATATATATATATATATATATATATATATATATATATGTATATATATATATATATACATATATATATATATATATATATATATATATATATATATATATATATATATATATATATATATATATATATATATATATATATTTATATATATATATATATATATATATATATATATATTATAAATTTCAAAAATGTTCTAAATGTAGAAACGCTATGCTAAACTTAAACTAGGATAAAAACTAAAAAAAAACTAACGAAAAAAAAATCCTAACAAAATAAGGAACGAAAAACAAATTCATAACATAAAAGAAAATATATAAGCACTAAAATAAAAATAAAAACTTAAACTCGAAGCGAAACTTTTTGTTACGTTTTTAATTAAGTAATAACAAGGCAGGCGCAATATAGGGGTGCGAGAAGTGGGGGGTTGTGTGACATCCTTCCCCCTCCCCCCCCTCCCCATCAATGATTTTTAGTCGGCATATTTAACCCTTTATGACTAGTTAGTGGGCAAATGTCGACCCATTCAATATAGGTTAGTCGGTAGTTTAGATAGTTAGTCGTCATGGTAGTCAGCAAATTTTTGAAACCTTTTTCTTTTTTTTTAAGACAGCAAAGGTTGTAATGGCACCCCCCTCCCCCACGTGACACCTACTCGTGTCGGCCCTGAGTATGAAATAAACGTTATTAATGCTTATCTTTTTAAACGATATTAAAGTTACGCAAAACGTTTTTAAATTAAGTAATAAATTAGTAATAATTATTGGTTTTATAAATGAACAAATTTTAATAAATTTATTTAAAAGTGTTGTATATAATTTTTTTAAATTGTATAAACATTTATTTTTACAAAAAAGTTGCAAAAAAAAATTTTAAAAAAATATAACGTAGTCTTTTTAAAATAGTTATTTTTACTAAATTTACTCAATTCGTGCTCTAATTAGTAAGTCTAATTTAATAAAAGGAATTTAACTTTTTTATTTGTAAAACGGTTTAAATAAAATTAACTGCCAACAAGCATTTCAATTTAATTTTAATTTGAGCATCACATCTTTATTAATAAGTGCTTCGCTTAACGAATTTAAAAATTATTATTAAAGATTTAAACACATTTATTCCTAACAAAATTGAAACAAACAAAAAATACCAATATTGGTGTTGATCTTGCATCAAAAATTCAATGCCCAAACAATTCATTTAAAAATTACTTAACAGGCTCACACTGCTCCTTAAATTTCAACGAACTAAGCCAAGACGAACTTGAGATAGCTAAGAAATCACTTAAAATCAAGTCCGCTGGAATCGATGATATCTCTTGCAAAGTAGTGATAGATGTTTTTGAGGAAATACGTAATCCTATTTACCAAATATTTAACTCATCAGTTACAGCAGGTATTGTACCTGATTTGCTTAAAATCTCAAAAATTATAACAATCTATAAATCAGGAGAAGCCAACTCCTTAAACAATTATAGACCTATTTCAATCCTTTCAGTATTCGCAAAACTTCTTGAGCGAATTATCTACAATAAATTAAATAAATATTTAAAAAACTAATAAAATTATTAATAAAGGTCAATACGGTTTCCAAAAGCGACACGCAACAGAGCATGCAATCCTTGATCTCTCAAATAGAATTAATAAATCATTTAAACAAAAAAAAATTCACGTTGGGAATTTTTATTGATTTGTCAAAGGCGTTTGACACTGTCAACCGTGAAGCTTTGTTTTCGTTTAAAAACTGCCTTAATGACAGACACCAGTGTGTTTTTATAGATAAAAAAAGCAACTCGAATTTACTGAAAACAAAATGTGGTGTACCCCAAGGGTCCATTCTTGCTCCTCTTTTGTTTCTTATTTACATAAACGATCTCCCAAATGCCACAAATATTTTCAAAACCATAATGTTTGCCGATGATACAAACTTATTTTACTCATCAAAGACTATTAAAGACTTATTTAAAAAAACAAATAATGAACTAAAAAAAATTAATATTTGGTTTAAATCAAACAAACTATCACTTAATATAAAACTAAATATATTCTATTCCACTCTACTCAACAAATTAAAAAGCTTCCCCTTAACCTACCAACAATTAATATAGAAAATATAATCATCGAAAGAGCTCAAAATACAGAGTTTTTAGGTGTTCTAATTGCTAAACACATCTCTTGTAAGCACCACATCAACTATATAAATACAAAAATATCGAAGAACATAGGTTTACTTTATAAGGCAAGAGCTTTCTTGACACAAAAAAAGTCTAATACTTGTTTTTTTTTCGTTCATACATAGCTATCTTATGTATGCCAATATAGCGTGGGGCAGTACCCACATAACTAAATTAAAATTGCTTTATCTGCGTCAAAAGCACGCTTTAAGACCAGTGTTCAACAAAAACAAACTTACTCATGCTCAACCCATACTGGAGCAAATAAACGCTATAAATATTTTTCAAATAAATATTTATCAAAATATACTTTTCAAGTTTAAATATAAATTAAGTCTGGTTCCAGAACATTTTACAGCACACTTTTTTGAAAACAACGTAAACAAATACAATACAAGAGCAATTAGAAACTTTAAGATACCCTTTGAAAAAATTAAACTCTCAAATTTTTCAAGAAAACATCGTGGTCCCTATTTATTTAACAAAATAATTTCCAGAAACGAATCGCTAATAAATTTAAATAACGAACAGTCCCTGAAAACAAAGTTAAAATC